TTTTACCGTGATGGCTTGGACGGCTTGGCCTAATCAGCTCAGCCTAGCCTAATTGGGCCTGATCTAACTTTAGCAAATTCTTTATATTCTTCAAATCTATCAATTGTTACATTAAACTAAAGCTAAATCATATTTACGTTTGATAAAAAAAACCCTTATTGACTGAACGTACATTGTTTTCATTCCAATATTCGGTGGGGATTCCCAAAAATGTAAAGGAGGGGGGTCAGGCCCCGCCCACAGTCAGCTCAGGGCCATGCCCACTGGCTCCCATTTTGGACGGCCTACAGTATTTCGTTTTTCTGGTTAAACTCCTGTTTATGAGGCTTGCGAACAGTGAGAGCTGGTTATACTGGTGCCAAATTAAACATTTTATACAGGCTACAAAGGGCTTTTTTTTTTCATACCAAATGTGATGGCAACTACATCATGGCGTGATACTCTATAAACTTAAGCTCTGGCCACACTATCAAATTTTATGTAACATTAATAATAATAATAATAATAATAAACAATAACAATAATAATAATAATAATAATAATAATAATAATAATAATAATAATTAAAATTGTTGACTGGTCACTGGATCAAGCACATATGGAACACACACTTAGACCCGATGGGAGAATTCCATATTTTGCAGCTGTAATCAGCACTTTGTTGTGTAGACAAACATCATCCATATACTGTATGTGCATATATCACATACAATTGTCACATAAAAATTTGATAGTGTGCACGGAGCCTTAATCACTTTACGAGGCTTGGGTACATTGTAGTTGGTTATACTGGTGTGAAAAGAAGCTAACAGTTGAACTTGCCAAGTCTAATCCAAAATGCCATTGAAAAATTGTTCGATTTAAAAAGAATTCCACTTACGCAGATTGTTAATTAATAGAAAACACAACAATTTGGCATGTAAAGTAAGATTGACATAGAAATTATTTGAGTTAGGCGAAGTCGACTTAGGCAAGTTTAACTTAGGCAAGTTTAACTGTACCTCACAGGATTTGAAAATATAGGACCCTGTAAAATTTAAGCCAAACATCTGTAACCACCTGTAACTACCAAGGTATAGTATACAGTACAGTAGCCAGATTTCTATAAAACATGTATTTGAGTAGATACTGAAGATAGTAAACAATTACTAACAAAGTACTATTGATAAATCAAAGCATTTATTGACTTTGATATCTTGACTCTTGTTTACACTATTTTATGGATGACTATTAGGAGTTGAAATTCCATCACACTTCATTTTCATATTCAAATTATTATTAGCTACAAACTATTGATTTTTTTTCCCTCATTCATTGCTAAAATTACCTATGATGTTGGCTGATTTGCATGGTATCATTTTTTTCAAAGTCTTTAAGTGGTATATTTTCTAAAATTACATTTTATTTTTTATTTTATCTTATAGAATTAAAAATATATACAATTTTACAGCAAAAAAATGATACAACACTTCTAGTCACTAGAAGTGTTAGATCATTTTTTTTTTATCAATTATAAAAATCAGGGTAAACATTTTATAAATTCCATAATTTCTATGCTCAAGTTAATAAAATTTATGTTAATGCAAAATGAACTGGTCATTTAAAAATTATTTTTTTAATGATTTTTGTCACTTTCAGGGGATAATACATTTAAGTTAAATATGTCTAAATGAATTTACATGAGGCTAATTGAAAACATTCCAAGTGAAAACATTTTGCAAGTGTACCTGTTTTTTCTGTCTGACAGGAATAATATAGTGATTTGCATTACACTAGCAATGGAGTTAGCTGTTGCTAACCTTTGCTCCTGTTAGCCAACTACAGTACAGGAACACTATATTATCTGCTTTTATAGTATGCCTTGAATATTGTGTGTTAGGGTAAAGAATGGAACGAAGGACTATTGCAGCTATTTTTAGAATATCAAGCATTTCAATTGGATTACTGATTCAGTTAACAGTGATAAAATTCCGAACAAATAAACAACATCTTGCACCATAGACAATTTTAAATTCCACAAAAATTGGGCATTAATATTATTACACAGTAATATATTTGTTTAAAAAATACTATTTTTTTTTAGACATGCCAGTTGGAAAAGCAATTATTGAAAGCAAAACTTACTCTGCCAAATAGAGTTTAAAAATGTTAAAATTTTTCTACTGTATGTCATGTGTGCTACTTTTTTTCAGAGAATTAAGCTATGTACAGTTTAATAGCAAGCGCTCTGAGCGTTTTAAAAATGCTGTTTATTATTATTATTAGGCAAGAATTAACAATGATATTATTCAAATTAGTCCAACACCTTACATATTCATAATTAAGCATGAATATGTAATTATTGACTAGGAACCTATTTTCATATAATACTGTCAAAATCCTTCTTCTTCAACCATAATGGCCATGCATTGTAATGGCAAAGATATCACATGGCATTCCAGTCAATGTGTTTTTTCGTTGTAAAGCTAAATGTTAATGTGGTCATTATTACCCAAGGGTGTGATGATAAATCCCTAAAAAAAAACCAGAATCGCGTAGAAATTTCGATCTATCGTCTTAGGACTTAACATAGAAGACATTAGAGCTGCTTAAATCATGCATCAAACATAAATCGCTGTTAGTCATGTGACATCTCGTAACTTCGATATCAAACTGCCCCATAAAATGAGTCATGGCCACTTAAAAGGTCAACGACCCTAGAGTATTATCTGCAATATATCTTTTATGAAGCTGAAATATGATAGATGTAAGTGGCATTGATAATGATGATGAATGAGATATAAAGTTGATGGTTATGATATCATTATCATCCTTTTTTATGATGATGGTAATGGTGATGATGACGATGACGATAGCCATAAAAATTAGCGCCAGCCCTAAGGGGAGTCTTTTTCTATACCTTCTTTGGCGAACCCAAATATATATATATATATACTGTCTCTTATACACATCTAGATGTGTATAAGAGACAGCTCTAATAATGAATGATTTCAAATAAAAATACAATTTTATTTTTGGACAACTAAAAAACCTACCACCACCACCAAAAAAAAGAAAAAAGAAAAATTTCAGAAAAAATGTGAGCAGTTATGACAAAATGCGTCAATTTGATATTCAAGAATATCTGAACTGATATTTTGTCTTGAATATTGGGTTTAATATGTACATTTCACATTAGCAAAAGTTCTGAGTTGAGTTTCCTAAGGTAATCATGTTTTTGTGGCACATTTCGTAAAGCTATTTTTTTAGACGTCTGAATTTTAAAATGATCTTCTTCTGGTTTTATTCAACCTAGGAACATGATTCAAAGACCAAAATAAAGCTTATAATTTTATTTTATTCTTTGTTTTATTACTACTGTATATAAGGTAAGATAAGATAACTTTATTGTTCCACAAGGGAAATTCTTCTGCTCGTCATCACTTATTATATTAAAAAATGTAAAACAAATATAAAAACATACAAAACAGTCACTATAGAAAATATAACAATTTACAGTACAAGTAAAATACAATGACTATCATCGATAAAATAATTGAATTACAATTATGATTATTTTTATTATTCTTATTATTATTACTATTATTATTATTATTATTATTATCATCATTATTGTAATATATATTTCTTGTCACTGTACCACTGAAAGTGCCTACAGTATAAAGAAAGATTAAATAAATAAATATATAGCCATCTATCTAATCAATAACTCATTTTTCATACCACAAGACTCATTTTGTCACGATAGCTCACAAATATTTCTTTGTTATTACGCCCGCACCTTGAAATCTCAAAAAATAAGATGTGTAATTCTTCCTAATTACTGTATAAATTTAAAGCATTAACCATCCGTTACTACACTGTTTACTACAGTTAACAACAATTGTATTTTTATTTTCTTCTCAGTCCGGATATTTTTGCTATTAATTAGAAAAGAAATTTTTATCGTAATTTGTTTTCCGCCCTTCTAAGATGTTCGTTAATAAATACAGTATAAGTTCACAAAACAAGGTATAAAATATTCTCGCCTAAACGGGGAATCATAATTATTTAATTCATGTAAAGTATTTAATCCGATTACTATTTACATCGCAATCTTTATACAACTATGCGGTGTTACCTTGGGCAAGAGCCTGCTAAGTGCATCCTAAATGCAAACTCACAAGGCCATTACAAATCATTTCTTTTCATTTATTGGTCAGAATTTGCTTTCAAAAGTTTTAAAATCATTAATTTCGTAGATTGTATTTCATGTACGTCAATACCAGCCACAGAAACGTCATAATATTGGACACTTATATGGCTAATAACAGAATCTAAAATCGAAGTACGTAGGCCAATCTATGTGAACAATTAAGTCAGTCTACAGTATGCCAACGGCTGTAATGCTAACGCATCACAATCGATCACTACATGTTCTAGTAGTTCTTTTTCTTCAACATTAAAAGATTGTTCGTTACAGAAAATATTTTAATCAATAATTGTTTAATGCTGAATGATAAATTACTGAGCTCAAACTTCAGAATGTCTAGGCCTGGTGATGAGATTTGATAAGACATTCATTAGCCATGTCTGCAGGTCTGCACTCATGCCTCCCAGGGCTTTACCAGGGGCCATTGCTAAAAATATCACTTTAAAAATGCAGACGTTATAAAATAACCAGCTCAAATTTTACAATGTTAATAATTAGTCAGTAATTAATTTCTGATAAGAATGATATGATAATGACGATGATGAGGATGTCATGAGGATGACGACAATGATTTGATGATGATATAATGATGATGAAGATGATGTTGACGACGACGACGATGAGGATGATATGATGATGATCTGATGATGATGATGATGATGATGAGGATGAAGATGATGACGATGATACTAACATGATGATGGTTACATTGAAAACAAAACATTTAAACTGAGCCATGAAAAAAAAATAGAAAGAAATTGAAATGTGCACAGGATGAAAAAGATTAATTGAAGCAAATATAACTCACGGTTTAATCCAATGTCATGAAAGGTCAAACACACCATCTTCTGTTTCTCCTTATCACCCTAAAATACAAATTAATATTATTTACAAATCTTTGAATTGATGTTCGAAAATTATACATTTATGGAAACATTGGAAAATATATTATTAAAAATAAAATGATAAAAATTCCGCAGTTTAAGAACAGTATGTACTGTAACAGGGGGTCCCAACAAGAGTTTCCCCCTTGACCACACCAAAAATTCTAGCATAACCAGCAGCATTAACTGTAGATATCTGAGCTCATCAAACAGACACACTTTCTAACATAACATACGGTGGTTGACAGTTGAGGAATCTTTTTTTGTCTATTCATTTTGTTTAATGGAAATGTGAAATGTTCAAGATCAGACTTGCAAATTAAATGTATTATCAAATGCCACAAGTCTTCAAATCAGAGAAACTACAATTGCAACAGATTAAGAATACATTATTTGGTGCTCCGAGGCTACAGTTTCAGCTTCTATTGAAATTGATAGATGAGGAATGAATGCATAAAAGCATGCTACAGTATCTGTCCCACCTACAAGGGGCGCGTGCTAGCAAAAAAGGCCTTCAAAATTGATTAGATATGCCACCATTAAACAGCAATGACGCTGCGCTTAATGCCAAAGTTTTACCCTTTGGTGGTACTTAAAGACCCCACAAACATAGTAAGGCTTTCCTAGCCTCACGTGCGCGCTAGTAAAAAGGCCTTCAAAACTAATTAGATATGCCACTTTTAAAGTGCACTTTTATTAAACAGCAATGATGCAGCGCTTAATGCCCAAGCTGTTCCCTTCGGTGTTACTAAAATGACCCCAGAAACATAGTAAGGCTATTGTACACACATGGGCATGTGCCAGCAAAAAAGGCCTTCGAAATTGACTAGTTATGCAATCTTTAACCAGCAACAATGCAGCATTTAATGCACAAAGTGCTTCCCTTCGGTGTCACTATAAGACACAAAAAAAAATACCGGAATAAATAATGTACACTGAGTAGTACTCTACATTGAATGTCATCCTCCTGTTGCTAGGTTACATAATACAAGCAGACAAAATGGAAGGTGACTCGGTGAACAAGTTTAGTGTAATTTCACATCCATGTATTCAAAACAGTGCATATTGATTTTCTGTTGCAATCCATCAATAATGTTAAGTTAAAATGTCTTTATATTGTTTACGTTATACTTTTCAGAGATTATCAATATCATTATCATCATTGATAATTGCCAAATAAACCTATTTTCATAGATGCATATTATATGGAGCAAAATAATGATAAGATTTAAGCACATCCACTAAAATAGTGCTCAAAATAAGGAGGTACTTAACACTATCACGATTACCAAGGAAATTTGTCTCCTACAGTTGATATTATATTGACAGGATATTAAAGAGTAGTTTCCTCTCTGTTTTCATGCCCATTACTGTATGCTCCAAGCAATATCATACTCATTTTGATTTGCCAAAAAAAAAATTGCACTGTATAAATTATGATAAAGTAGGCCTCCTATGATTATTATTAAAATATTATTAATGTAAAATTTATCGTATTTTCTCTTGTATAGACTAGGCGTAAAATAGCAAATTACTATTAAACACATTTTTTAATGCATGGAGAATAACATTTTGATGAACATTTAAAAGCCCATAATATGGTATTATTTGGAAGATTACTGTAGCTCTACGTTTGGCTTCGTTTTTAGCCAGCTAGATGCATATTATTATTAAATCATAAAAAGCAGCAAAAAGCAGTATTTCTGACGGTGAAAAGAGAGGGTCGTCTTATACTGTACGCCCGACATAAAAAAATCGTCCAAAAATCAGGGATTTTTTATACGCGAATTGCCATACAAGCAAATATAAAGAGGCTTAAAATATAAATAAATCTTCAAAATGAGGAGAATATATTTGTGATATTCCATTTAGGGATATACTGTAGTAGTCATCAATCCAGGGACCTTTAAAACATGATTAGCATAGAGCGTGTGCACTAGTGATAAAATACACGGAATACACATGCCCATTGAGGCGGGGCTTAGACACACAATTTTTAAAGATTGCATTTTGATTTGGCTTTATTTAATATCTCCCACAAACTCAAATACACAGACAAAAATAACATGCAAAAACAATTAAAACAAAAACCACCGTTAAAAGACACTGGAGATAATCCTCAAAGTCCCTGCAAAGAGATTGATTTCCAAAGGGATCCAATAAGCAAGTTGTGTTTTAGTTTTCAAATTTGGTCCAAGAAAGTCTTTTAATAGTTATACCAAAAACTACTAGTATTACACAGTTTATTTCAAATATCATCCACAACATCTCCCTCCAAAATGTTTAATACAAACACACATTGCCCTCCACCTATAGATAGTAAATTCCCTCCATGGATATTGTAAAATTTAATACTACAGTCTCATGAGTGACCTAATAAACATCTTTATCTAACCAGTTGTCGTAACAACCGCACTATATAAACTCTACTTTGACTTATTTGACCTTTACTCGGCGTCTGCTGCAATGAAATTATCGGAGCAACAAGTGAATTCCATTCAAAAGTCTGGATTTCAAATGCAAACAAAATGAACACACATAGTAGACGCCTACTGAGACCATGTGGAACATGGTAAGTGGGTAGCGGCCAGATCCGGTTTTAAGTGACATATTGACCGACTACTGTATACTATAATATAAGACATAACCTATGGAAGATAATGCTGGCAACTAGCATGGCCATATGTCTCCTATACTTTCTGTCTTTTTTTTTTAATGTATAAATTATTCTTATTTCCATTATCTTATTTCAATTCACATTGAACAGATTCATTCATTATCAACCGAAACATACAAGTTTACAAATTAATAAGTCACAAAAATACATATGGATGAATTAATAACGAGCAAAATTTAATGGCTTTATGGCACTTACAAGGTACTACGGATTCACTAACGATGTTAGGTAGATGCCATTAACACATTTAGATAAAAATATCAACCAAAGTATATTACGTCGAGTTAATTGAAATATACATAGCATGTACAGAGCACAGTCTTGAACACCTAGCTAATGGAGAAATGTACTGTTACTAGCCAATATCTTCCATTTCCTCATAAAATTTTGCAGAATCGATTCTCTGCAGAATTAATCATTTTTTTCATTTCATGTGTTTTTGGGGCTAATTTATTTTGCGGGGAATCTAATATGTCAATTAGGCTGTTCATAATTTTTTTTTTTTTCATTTGCAGACCATACACATTTTATTGTATTGATGCGATTATTCCTCAGTTGGCCATTACAAAGTATGGCAGTGTAGACTTAAATAGTGCAACAATACATCTCACATGTTATATTCATTAAAGTACACTATATGCAGTATAGTAAAATATTAATATTACAAACACATTAGTTACAAGTTATATTAAACATGCTTTTGACAATACAGTACAAATATAATGCCCGTTCTTGTAATGTTTTAAAGAGAAGTAATGTCAGAACATCACAGAATCATTATACACTTATTTAATTTGAATGTTTTGCCTTCTTATCCTGCTTGTCTAAAGAACGAGCCACAAACAACCAAGTTCAACGTGCCGTGTGCAAAAACACGTCAATTATTAACATTCGTTTAAGTTCTTTTCATTATATTTCATGTTATTTTTAGCTAATCATGAATTAATAAATAGTCTGGACCTAAAGTAGAGGTTATGAAATACATTACAATCATACTCAAAATTTTCAATGTTATATAACCACTTTATTACCTCCGATACTCATCAACCAATTTTCTCAAACCATTACCCCCATATTTTCCCACCTGCATATTAAAATCTACTATTGTCTACTTGTTTTGCTCTATGAATCTTCAGCCTGTTTGAAATACACTGTTTACTTTCAAGCCAGAATCTATAGATAAACAGGTTGATGGTTGTTGTTAGGGTTATTAAATATTATTTAAAGATCACAGGCACCTCTCATAAAATATCTCTAATCAAGTGTTAGATTCTATAGCCTATTTATAATGTCATAATTTGTCTCTGCAGATGTATTCATCCCAGAATTTCTCAGGAGCATTTGAATAAATATTAGGACTTGAAATCATGATGTTTATCACTCAAATAGAAGCGAGCATCGTTGATACAAAATCAATATATAGGCCAATGAGGGAATGCATACCGAAGGTCGTAGGAAACACTCCTTGTACTGTACCAAGGAAAGTCATTGTCCCAAAACACTGAATTTGAAGGCACAAGTAATACAAGGCAAGGATATTGAATTATCCTAATTAATAATTCTGTATTTATTAATTCATTAATACATGATTAATCAATGTGCAATGCAAGACTGCTATGGTGATAAAAGCATAAATATTGGTGTACATAATAATTTGCTTTTTAAAGTAAGTAAAATTTATATTACTTTTAGATATCAAAGTATTCCCTTTATTTCTATAGTATCTTGATAATTATCCTAAATGTATTTTATCATTGAGTGCTCTAATGTATTTAAGTCTTAATGAAAATAAACATGTATGATGAAATGTACAGTGATTTTCATAATGTAGTAGTGTAATAGATGATGAATTAAATGGTAGGCTTGTCAATGAGCTATTAATGATCTATTTCATCATCAATTTAATAAGCATATCAATAAAGGTTATTGTGTCTTATCTTCGGTAATGTGCTATGTCTCACTACATTACTACTACATAATACATTATTTATAAGAGGAAAGGCGTTAGGTATGCGCAAGATTGTTTTAAGCTCTGTCTGCACTCTGATATCTAAATTTTATGTGACAAATTTGTGCGATGTGCCTATATATGGGCATGGTGATCTCATATTACACCCAAATATGGGCATATCACATTTAATGTGGTGTGGACTGAAATTTGGTGATGAAATACCTATGATTTGCAAAGTTATATAATTTGGGTGTGATATGATATCACCATGTCCATATATGGGCACATCACACAAATTTGTCACATGAAGTTTGATAGTGTGAACGAAGCTTTATATTGTAACACATAATATGGGTGTGATATGACATCATGATATCCATATATGGGCACACCACACAAATTTGTCACACATTTAATAGTGTGAAAAGAGCTCTATACTATAACAACATATAATATGGGTGAATATGTCCATATATAACACATATATTATGGGTGTGATATGACAACATCATGCCTGTTTGTCTAAATTTCTCACAATCATACAATTTGATAGTATATGAATACAATTATACATAGTAGATTGATGCAAAACTGGTGATTTAACTGACCTGAATGTAACAGTGGAACGCTCCCCATTTTTCAGTCCAGACTTCTTCAAGCTGAAAGAAAATGTTAATGTTTATAATGTTAAGAAAATGTTAATGATTGAAAGGCGTCATTGTAGTACATGCTAATCATGGCAGTTTACACAAAATGTTTAGTGCGAGCACATGACCCATGACATCAGTTCAAATCTATTGGAGCAGAAAGCTATGAACAATAAACTATAGGCTGGAACGTTAAAATATTTTACCTATCTAGTCAAAGAGACATCAAAATTGTGGCGCAAAAAGTTGCTTCTAACAGTACACTCATGGTGTAAAAGGCGCCATGTGTAAAATTTATGGATTGAATTAACAAATTGTGCAGGGCAGGAGAAAGTGTGCGATCAGGAAGTAGCAATGCTTATTTCCAAGAATGCATTAGGAAAGCAAATCTGTTATTTTTTGCTCCACTGTTGGTTGGGTTATTGTGGTGTACAAATAACATCTGAAGCAAGAGCAACAGACATTTTTTTTGTTAATGGTCAGAGGCTATTGCATACAGCACAATGGGAATAAAATAATATAGCACATACTGCAGCTATTGCCGTTATCCATAACAACTTTATTGAAAAAAAAAAAAAATTATCAATAAATTAAAAATATTTTCCTCTCCCGACAATTTTCTTTTAATATGCATTGTGTCGCATGATAGACTCGCAGCATGTTTTCCCCTTTTTTAATTACTGTAGTTGGCACAATTATGTTCTAGGACTAACATCTAAAAATGTCCAGCAAAAATTGCCTTAGGCCTAGTTACATTAAGCGCCAACCAGAATATAGTACAGTAAGGCCTGGGCAGCGAATATATTCTCCGTGCAAAAATTTGGCCTAGAAATCCGTCAGTGCTTTTCGGAAAATAAGGGCCGATTTCCGAGCAGATTTTGCTAAAGATTAAGCTTTCACCAAATCTTAATATATATACTGTATATATTATTATTATGCAGCAATTGCAATTCTGTGTACCTATGTACCTAGCAATTTTCCTTGCAAATTTGAGCTGGTTTTTTAGATACCCTCTATGCGATTTAAAAACTTTACAGTATGGCATTCCAAAGAAATCCAGGTCGTCTGTTGTACTCCACTAGGCTTTGATCACCCGGAGAAAACCACTGTCATCTAGGCCCCTACTGCTGGACAGGTTTGCATCTCCACTGAATATATTCTGTCCTCCATAGGCATAGCTATGCTAGGCCTATAATATTAAGCTCTAACTAAGACTAAGTCTAAGTCTGCCTAGACGCTAAGTCCTACACAAGTAATAAGCCAGCAGTATGATTATTATTGTCTTATATTACTATATTGGCCTAGGCCTAGTGCTGAGGCAAAATTCAAGATACTGTAGGCCTACTCTTTTTTCTACTGCTTTTATTTAATAAATAAGCTAAGGCCTAGTCTACAAACATACCATACGATAAAGGGGAACAAGCCTAGGCAACATAAATATTAAAATGGATCTCCATTCACAGGATACCATTCATTCTGTACCCTATTCACAGCATGTTTTTTAGCCTACCACGTAGACCTCATCACTCATCCAGGCCAGGGCAGAGAGAATGCTTTGCTAGACTCTCGACTACTCTCTAGGCCCAGCCAAAATCTGGGTGGCTGGCAAGCCAGTGGGCGGCAGCCTGACAAAACTTTAACAACTTCAAGCACAGTTGCAGTCTCATTCTTGAAATTGGCAATGAAATAATAAATACCCAAATATCAACGCACCTTTGGTTCAGGAATTTCGTGATGCTCTGTCGACATTTTTCTGTTTAATCAAAATTTCGAGACAAGATAAAACACCATTCAACACGCACTAGTCAGACCTCATGCAACTCTGGTAGCGAGAGATCGAATCGAAATCTGGGTTTTGAAATTAGCTTGCAAAATACGACGACGCCGTGTGACCGCGACACTTTTCGAGAGCGGCGTTTCAAGGGTCACCAATAAATCGAGGTGACAGTTTGTGAGGTAGGTCACGGACACTTCCGCGCCCACGTGGCTTTCACCTCCTCTGAGTGATGGCGCCAACGATTAGACACAAAATACATCGGAATGGGGTAGATGCAATATGGTTTAATTTCCAAATCAATTGTATTTTCCTTTTAGTTAAGTTCTTCTAATTTGTTTTTCAGCGTGATCACTATGGAAAATCAAAACTCCCAAGATTGCTTTTAGAATCCCAAGATTCGCAAAATGTAGACCTGCCTATATATAGACCTACATATAACTTCATTTAAATTAAAAGACCTTTTTAAAGCTTTTTCAGTGCATTATAATTTATACTGTACAGTATTTTGTACTGTATAGGCCTAACTAATTTTCGAGACCAGAAACTCGTTCGCCCTTGGGGTGGAGGCAGATTCTAGGGTTTGGGGCCCATGTGGCGTTGAAATGGGGGTGCTGATGGGGAGTATGGTCGAATCGAAGGTGAAGCAGGGGTTCGATGATCAGTTGAGAAGAAGGCGCTAACTTGCAAAATAAGGTGATTTTAGGTGCTTTTTAATTGACCATGATTTGGTGAAGGGGAGGGTGAGTGCCAGGCCTAATATTTCGAGGGGAATATATTATTAGAAGGCCTACCGTACTCTGTGCGTCCGTGGAAAATCCTTTTTTTTTTGTGACTAAAAGATATTCTTTCCTCTGGCATTGTAAGGCCAAGTTTGTGCGCAATTTCACCCATTCGATATTAACAAAGTCAGTACTTCACACACATTAGGCCTATAGACCTACAGTATTATATAAAAGGCATAGGCCTAATCGATCTTTACAGAGTGTCTAATTGATCTGTCAATTTTATACCAGGAGCCTACAGTATTGCATGGGATTATTTAACAATAAGAAAAAATGGGGGAAACAGTTTGCTTTGAAATTTACTTAAGCGAGTGTGTACGAAACCGGGTCTATGGTAACTATAATTTGATACTACGTCTAGAAGTGTAGAGATACGGACCCTATTATTAAAAACTGTACTTGAATTCAATGATTACAAGATGACCAAACATGTGAATAAATCAGTCTAAAATGATATTCAAAAGATACCGGTATTATACAGCTAACCGCTCATGTTTGTTTTGCATGTCTATTACACACCGTCACTCACAAATGTATGTAAAAATTGGTCGTAAAATTTGATAAGTTGACCATTAAAATCTATTGTAAATATTAATTTGAATTCGTGTACACCGATTTTGTTTCAAGTTGTTTGTTTTCAATATTATAGCTGACGATGTTTTGAAATCGTACTGTATAACACTCAAATTTGATCTATGGGCAAACAACAGAAGGCTCTGAATTGTTACAAGTTGATCAAGCGTGTTGCTGCATCATTATTGTTCAGATACGATCACTATTAAAACAAAGAGCAGCAGGCTGATAATTTGTGGTTTTTTTGTGAGTGTAAAGATTCTTTAGTGTATATAGAATTGTAGATAAATAAGTCATCAGATTGTAGTCCAGGCCCGTATCCAGGGGGGGGGGGGTTATGGTTCGGGAGGGGTTTATGGTTCGGGAGACCCCCCCCTTTTCTAGCAAACCCCCCTCTTTTCTGGCGAAACTCCCTCTTTAAATTTTCCAAATAAGTCCTCCAACTCAACTAATGCACTGCAAACCCACCCAGACACAGACATTTCCAAACATCTGCTTTTATAGCTTTATTTAGACCCATGAAGCACAAAAAGTCCTCTTGCTTTGGGGGTTTCGCTGACCCCACCGGGGCTTCGACCGTGGATCTTACTCCCAGAAACCCCCCCCCCCCCGGATGAACCTGGCTACGGGCCTGTAGTCCCATATTAATAGTGCCGATATTTTGACTACTCCTCTTCCGCGAATTGTTTTATTGACAGTGACTCATCTAATTCTTAAATAATCACTTTAACATTTTAATCGAAATAGGTTCACCATATCGTAAAAGTTTGAATACCACCCCAATTCGTTGGCGATCCTCAGTGTAGGGCCCTATGTTATGTTAATGAAACATGTCATACTGTCAAGGGAGTGTGTATTTTAATATGCTAGTACGTATTCTCAACATGTAAACATCGTCGAAGGGTAGGCGTATTTACAATTTTAATCGGGTCCCAATTTCACATGATGCTAGATCATCGAGGCTATATCAATTTGGCGGCAACACAACCAATTGAATGATTTTCTATATTTAAGTTATATTTTAACTTTCAAAAGAGACAAGGATCAAAACAAGTAGTTTTTACTATTTCTATGCCAAAGAATATAAGAAAAATGTAAATTATATTAATTTTTAATTAATTAAAAGCTAATAATTTAGCATAATTAACACAAAAAAAAAGGAAATTTGAATAACTAATTTTACTTTAGTACGGTACCACATTGCAACACATCTGCAACTTAAAAAAAGTTTGCAATGCGTAATTGCTGTCTGTTACCGTATGTAGAGGGCAGCATTCATAAATTCATTAGTATCAGGGTGGTACAGTCACTTAAATGCCACCTCAATCGCGATGAATTGATAAATGAAATGTTCATTATTCATGACATGTTGAAATCAAAATTGTTCAAATGTGGACTTAAACTTTGGTTTAATTTATTATTGTGAGCAATTCAAATTTTAATACAGCTCTTTCTCTAATTAAAGACCCCTCCAATTAAAGACCACATTTCTGTGGTCCAAATTCACCAAAAAGTTATTTTTATCTTAATTATTCTAATTAGAGACCAAAGCTGTTAAAGCCATGGAAATTGGGGTGGCGCCAGAATTTACCCGACGGGTGTCCGATGTCCCCGACGAAAAAAAAATGGGCGTGGTCTGGCGTCGCCCAAAATCTCTCGAAAGTGTCCCACGGGGGCTCCCCGAAAAATATGACAATTTTAGGGGTTTCGAAGGCTCATTAAATCAAATTTAGAGTAATAATATGTAGAAAATACAAATACATTTTTTTTTCTCCCCGCTGAATAGTGGTTTTTCTCCCCAACGGGGAGGTTCCCTGGCCCCCACTGGCGCCACCCCTACATGGAAACCCCCGGTCCCAAAGTGGTCTTAATTGGAGGGAGACCTGTATAGAGTTTTGCACATTTTTTGGATGCTAATATATCGTTATATGTTAAAAAACAAAAACATAAAACAAAATAACGAAGCAAACTGGGGATTTTCTTTTTTTACTATTTTGTTTTTAATCCATCAATGTCATTCTTCAAAAAAATACAACACTCTCAATTGCACATGGATTGAAAATAACCTTAATTTATACCCCCACTTTATAACAATAATCTTGCTAAGACGAGACATTTTTTATTCCTTGTTTCGTGTACTTATTTTTTTAAGATCATCTGAGGAGGGTGGAATAAAAACGAAAGTAAAATTTTATTTTCTTACTTAGCAAATAGTTTTGCCAAAAACATCCAGATGGAGGATAAAATAAATATAAAATTTTATTGGTGAATGTAAAATGGGATGGTTAAATGCTTCAAATTTATATACTGTATTTAGGAAGAAATATACATATCTTATCTTTTGAGATTTCAAGGCAGCGAGGGTGTAATAAAAAATGTTAAACAATTTTATTTTTTTCTGAAATTTTTATAGCGGGTGCACTAATTGGCCAAAAATAAAATTTTATTTTTATTCGAAATCATCAGTATTTGCGTTCAGCAGGTTCACTAAACAAGGTATAAAAAAATCTCGCCTAATTAAATTAAGGAAAAAATAATAGTCTTAAATTTAAAAAATATAATTCATAATGAAATTAAACTGAATCAGACGTACTTGTTGGTTGACAAAAAGAAATAAATTAAACACGATAGTAAGAAAAAACTATTAATATTGGTTAAATAAATTTATGTTGTGTTATTCCACTTAAACTGTACTAAAGTGGATGGCTTTTCTTTTAGGTTAATTAACTCTTGTAAAAGTAAATGAAACCATAGTGTAGTGTTAATCTGGTCAAAATAAATCAAACCTTATTTGGCAGTGTGTTAACCATATTTGGAAGTGTCTGTAATCACATATTTTACTACTTATATCAACCATGCTAAGCACTTTCCAGAACTCAAGAACAATCCTGGAATTTTTAAAAGAACTAAATTTATCGTATGATCACAGGAGTGAAAAGTGAAATAATATTTAAAATGGTAAAAAATAAAGGATTAGAATAAAAATTAAAGTTCACATGAGGAACATGGAGAGGAAAGGGAATTGAGAATATTAGGTCTGTTAGGTTTTGGGATATTCAAAGTAGCAGGTGCCCCGCTTACCACCTCTGCCCCTAAAATCCCATCCTGACCAGATATTTGAAAATTCAGAAATTGTTTCACATGAACATTATCAATAATGGAAATTTCGGCTTTTATATCGCATAATACTTACAGCCTCTTCACATTAAGTAAATTTTAAAGCCCCATTCTTGGCAAAATTTCAGTTGTTTAGAAAAAATCTGATTTTTATATATGTTATAAAGATTTATTGCTAAGAAATTGCTAGTTTAACTGAATTTAGACATACCTAAACATGAAAAAATGTAAATTAAGACTAAAATTTGATTTTTTTTTTGTGTTCCACACAAATAATAAATGGTTTATAATAATTAGATTTAAAAAATTCTATTTTAGTGAAATTTTTTATAAATAAATAATCATATTTTTAAAGTTGGAAGAACTTTAATATTATTAAGAGCATCATTTTTCAAGTCAAATATGAAAATGGAAAAATGTTCTACTCATGTGAACAAAATACTGGCTCTAAGTTTAAATTGATAATCAAATTGTTATCACAATGACCAACATACTTAAACAGTGCTAAGGCTAACTTAAACAGGTGAAACCTTACTTAAACCTTAAATAAATTTAATACTAAATCAAAATTAATTTGATAATTAAAATAATATAGAAAACAAAAAATATGAAAACAATACAGTATAAACATGACTGATTCATTTTCCCCTAAAACGACTAGTCCAGAATTGTAATTGTAGCAGATATGCTAAGGTTTTGAATTTTAGGATCTATGAGTAAAATTGATTTAACTCCAGCTTTGTATTCAGCGCTTGCATTTGTTTGATGTACTTAATGATAATACTTTTGTTTTGAAATGCGACTGTAATAGACAATATTATGCAAAACATATGGAATATAGGGAGCTAAAAACCTCATCAATTAAATATATTGTCATATTATTGCTTCAGGCCAAAAAATATACAGCTTTGAAATATGTATACAGTGTCATCAATCTTCTTTCATTTCTGCTTTGGCACTAGCAATTATTTTACTGTATTCTAGTTGCTCTTCACGAATCAGTTCGCTTTTTACTCGCACCCTTTTCAGTTGGCCGTCCCTGGTGATGGAAGAATTTGTATGGTTAAACAAATTAGTTAAGGTTATGCAAGAGAATGAGATGTGGTTTGGAGGTTAGGGTGCCTCCTTCTGATTCTAAGGTCCAGGGTTTTATAAATAGATTTCCCCTCTTATTAAATATTGTTTAAGATACAACTATGAATGTTTGTTTTTTTACTAATTAAAAAAAAAATAATCATGTATAGTTGTGAATTTCAAGTTTAAAGAGCTTGAATCCTTTCAAAATTAGAATTGTCATTTGAATATCGGATTTTTATGACAGCATTTTATATACTACCCTCTAGAGGTTTTTCAGTTTTAATAGGTGAGTAAATAAATGTTTGCCTACCATACAAGGTCAACAAGGCCTCCTTTCTTAGCTATTTCTGCCTTTACTCTGTTGGCAAATGTTGCCGCCTCCTCTTCTTCCTATTGTAGCAAATATAATTGCACAAACGCTTAAGTACACTTAATACTGTTAAAGCCTGGTTTCTTTAAAATTGCTGCACTGCAGTGTCTCCCAATGCAAAAGGCTCCACAATTTGATCGACTAATCAGCATCACCGAAAGCTGTCGGTGGTAGCATGTAACGATTGTAGAGAAGCCAAGCTTATGTTTCAACACTCAATTCTAAATCAAAATGACCAGCTTTGACACAAAATCACAAAACATTAAAGGTCAAAATGTTATAATGAGCAATTAAAAGTCAAAATGCCTACTACAACATTAAATAGAGCATTTCTATTATGGCGTCTCCAAGTATCGTTTGCAGTGGGTTTCGACTATATATTTATCATTAAGCTCAGTCGACTCAAATTTTATGTGACAAATTTGTGTGATGTACCCATATATAGGTATGATGATGTCATATTACACCCAAATATGGGAATATCACATTTTTTGTTACATAAAATTTGATGTAAAAAGTAGCAAACTTTTGCAGTTAGCTTTTCCCAATCAAGTTGATATGCTACTAAAGTACTTCTTATCCTAATAAAATAATTATTACTTCATGTAATAAATTTTGATAGAAATGTTAATAAATTTCTTCATAATAATGAACTGTTAACTAATCTTACTTGTCTATACATTGGTGGAAGGTACCAAACATCTGCCACAACTGCCCAACTTGTCATCATCATCATGAGATACTGAACGCCAGAGAAGCGACTGCTATTCCAAAACGCATCACCAAAGCGAGAATCGTACTATTAAATTTAAAACCACAAGGTAATGAAAATTTATATATTAATGATTGCGGTACACCACGTAGAGAGTTCTGAAAAGAACTGTTATTGGTTAAGATCTATTAAACTTGTCAATCACCTGATCTCAGGATATTATTTGTATAAATGCATGATTTCATAATATTAATATCATTATCAGCATAACTTGTCAAAACATTCAACAAATTGAAACCACTTTAAAAAGTATATTGTCATTTTTTTATCAATGGCATCATTATCATTTAAATCAACATTGTAACAATCGTTGATATCACTAATCTTGTGCTTGTCATCATGAAAGCAATCGTCGTCTTATAAACTATCATCACTGTCATGTTGCCAGTACCTCATCATCTCCACCACAATCACCACTGTCATCAACATCATTATAATCATCATCATCATCAGGGATGAATTGATTTATTCGGTGTAAACACGAAGGATAACCCACAAAAGTCTGAAGAAGACTTATTTCCAGTGGGGAAATTCTGGTGGTGATTGGGCTGTACACCAGGAGGCAATCCCATACTCTTTTCCAAAGAGTGTAATACGTCCATTAACGTGTACATGGGCCATAATGCACACAGGATCCACAGCTTAAACATCTCATCTGAAAGACGATGCGCTATCATAACTTGCACCATCATCATCACAGTTGCCATCATCCGTCATTATCATCAATGCAATCGTCATTAATAATCAACATCATCATCACTATTACCATCATCACACCTGTCCTACCTTGACAGCAGCTGGATAGATAACACCACCAACGTCAAAGCTTCCTTTCTTAAACATCATAACTGAGGTATTATTAATACAGGTTCCTATGGGGATGAACCATATATTTAACACTCTTCAAAAGGGAACTTGCATGATAAATGAAATAAGCAATGTTTATAAGAAAATATTTAATAAAAATAAAATTCAAACGCATTGTCCAATATTATAATGCTGCAAATTTAGCAACAAATACAGAAAAGTATATAAAATGATGATTAATATAATTATGAATAACATAGATATAAATAAATCAAATATATTACAAAAAAATATATAATTGCTAACTATATTAATAATTAAGTCAGTTGCCATGGTAACATACCTTCTGGAAAAATCAACATTGGCAGTTTTCTTGAATCTTCCACATGTTCCTTTAATCTGAAATATTAGAAAAAGTACTTTAATATATTCATCAATCCAATATTCGTTTTATTTTAATTCTAACCAACAGCAATACTCTCTTGGTACGTTTTTTCATGCTTATGTTAAGCACATAGAGGTCTCCATAATATGCACCCTATAAGTTTACCATTATCATTGATTATTATTAACATAAAAATATTGAAAATTTATAAAGCAATGGTATCCGTTTAAGAGTAAATTTTCATAGCACCCCTACTCAAGTAGTCAAAAAAAAAAAATTTAAAATATGAAACCAGATACAGTTTTATGAACCAGAAAAACAGTCTTATAATTACATGAGCCATACTTGTGTGAGCATCACTCTCTATATTTGGCCAAATATACACAGATACTCCAAATAAGGTGTTATGCTAGGTTCTAGTGGTTTCCACCTTTGGCCTGTTCCTCAGGCTTGGCTACCGTGCGCCTCCGAGGCAGCGACGCTGACCCATGTAAGGTAGGTATAAGAAATGTGTGTTGATTGTAATCAAGAGAAAAATCCAAGCCAATCATATATTTTCGCAGTATACCTTTGAGTAACACCCCGTCTGTCTTGAATCTCAAATCTTTCAAACCAAATATGGTCAGTGCCTGATCTGCTTAGCGCCCTCTGGATTACACCAAACAAACCTCCATGACTTTGACCAATCTAATGAAAAGGAATCATGTCTCGATAATCAGTAATAATATTCTCTATTGACTTTCTATTGTGGAAGCCATTGGAACAAACAAATACATGACGTATTAAAAATGTAAAAATATAATTTCATCAATCAAATAATCTAAAAAAACACCAAATTTTTTCACATTTTATGTTCCATATTTTACCGATGATGTAATGTTCAACTCACAAATGCATAGCAGTTGTCACTGGCAAGTACAAGAACATCAATTGGAGATGTGTGATTAGCAACACAAATACCGCCCCCTACAGCTCGATTCTCACTGAAATATAAACATTAATAATGTATCATATTTTTATTTTATAAAAATATAAATATAAAGAAATAAGTAAATAATGTATTGCCATGAAAGAAATATGAATCAAAATTCTTATATTATTATTATTATTATTATTATTATTATTATTATTATTATTATTATTATAAAATGGATTAATTTAAATGTTGTTTCTGTACCACTTTAGAGTGCCACAGAGGCCACAATAATCCTTTCAAAATAGAAACATCCTTAAATTGATCATTCCAGTATCTGCTTTTGAAGCAGTTATATATTAATAGCCTGGATCAACCTCAGAATCACCCACTAATCTAGAATGCTCCTCTGTTAAGACATATTTCAATTCAATTTTGTTATGAAATCTGTACTTCTTTTTATCTATTTATTTTTTATAGCAAAATATGGAAACTCACCGATCATGATATGTGATCATAGCTGAGAAACATCGGCATAAGATCCTATACACTGTTAAACTTACATATTTATTAAGCACTTTTTTCAGACTGAAATATAAATAAAATTAATATAAATGATCTCTATACAGCTCTAATAAATAACCTTACCGTAGTTCCTAATTTATGCCCATGTTTTTACGTATCAGCTTTTTCTCAGGGCAAAACTCCAGGGTATAATTTGAATGTGTAGCTTAACTGACTTTTACAAATACTATAAAAATTTTTCAAATATTGGCTTTGAATTAGGCATGCAATGATCAAAATTTGCCTTCTGCTTCAAAAAGGGACTCCCCGGGTATAAGCCAACCACCAAAATATTTTTGTTCAAAAGGGGGGGGGGGGGGTGACTGACAGTTACTCATATCGGAAAATATGATGCAAGAATACATGTGGGTAAGGCCACATTTGCAGAATCAATCTCAGAAAGAAGATTACAATTTTAGCAATCAAAAATGTTGGAGCTGGACAACATAACCACAACACTGGCACCTGTTAATGTAACTGTATTTGGATATGTACAGTTTTTTTTATATACTTACTTGGAGTCTGGCATACAACCCAATAATGCTGTTGAACTCAAAAGATAGGTCAATGCAAACACAGTCACAGACAACCTGGAACAAGTATTATTTGTATTTACTTCTTAATTATTACCTAATATTTTGTGATGGAAATCTTACAACTCTGTGAAACACCCTAGAGGCTAAAGCCTTGTGCAGACTATCAAATTGACAAAAACATGTGATATGCCTAAATATGGTCATGATGTGATGTCATCATGACCATATGTAGGCACATCATGACTATATATGGGCACATAACAGTAGTGTAAACAAAGCTTTAAAATAATAATTATAATTATTGCTACTATTACAATTATTATTAATATTATTAATAATAATAATTATTATTATAATTATTATTATTAGTCTCCATTACCATTATTAATAATGCTACTATCATAGTACAAATAAATATAAAAGACAGAAGATATGAAAATTTATAATTAAAACATATTATTTTTATATTTACCTGATTGGTAATAAAATAAAATAGCGAATTATGAATCCAATGATCCAAAGGATTGTCAACCGCATACTGTAAGATAAAACAATTCACGGAATAAAATTTAAAAATTACATTAAAATAAAATACAAGTAAACTTATAAAAATCATGTACTTAAAAAATGTTTACCCATGATTTTACAGCAAAAAATGATAGTAACATTTCCAGTCACTGGAAGTAGGATAAAAATTATCAATTTTAACATAGAAATGAGTGTATTTAAAAAATGTTTACCAATGATTTTACAATGAAAAATGATAGAAACCTCTACAGTCATTGAAAGTAACATAACAATTATCAATTTTGTTTTAATTCAATAATCCTTATGCTCAAGTAAATAATTTGTATGTTACTAAAAAATGAACAAGTTAATTTAAAATTTATTTTTTATAACTTTTTGTCATATCCAGGGGACAATGCATCATTAAATGTTTATCAGTAATAATTGTGGAGACTTCTAGAGAACTGGTGTTATAGTACTTTAAAACATCCATGTGGTGCAGGAATAAAGCATTGGGGTTTAAAGGTCAGGGATGAAAGTCTTCGGCTGATTTGCTTGCTTTGTGCCCTTAGGCAAAAAAGTTCACCTATGATCGTCTCTCCACCGAGGAGTATGACTAGGTACCTGGTAGACATAAATGTGCCAAGCACCTGCTACCTGTAATAATGGAATACATCACCAGGAAGTGTTCCATAGTTATCTGATCCAATGGTTGACCATGTCTCAATGTGCCTTCCTTTTAAATAAACAGATAGTAAAGGCCCTGTCACACCTTGACGATTTAGCCAGCGTATGCCAACCAACGTATTAAAATTTCTCTAAAACGCTGGCATACAGTACGCTGAAATATTGATGTTTTTTTTAAATTTTGGGAGTATACATAGAGTATTTATTACGAGTTGGACGTATTCACAACAAGTTGGATGTACACATAAGATAACATATTTTTTTGAAGATTGTCAAGGAAGGGAGGAAGGAAAAAATAAAAATAAAATTTTGTTTTCTTACTTAGTAAATAGTTTTGCAAAAAACATTGTCAGAAGAGAAAATAAAAATAAAGTTTTATTGGTGAATGTAAGCAGTGTAGTAATGAGATGGTTAAATGCTTAAATTTAAATACTTAGGAAACACTTATCTGAAATTTCTAATTTTTTGTTGCGGTGGGTGACAAATTGGCCAAAAATTTATTCTAAATCATCATTATTGGCGGGCGGCGGGTTTACTAAAAAATGTATAAATTGTTCCACAGTTGTCTGATCTAATGGTTGACAATATGTCACCATGTGTTTTCCTTTTCAGTACACATATACCATCACCTATGTTGTTGGTTCCTTTTATCCATGGGTTTAGTTCTTCTACTTTCATGTTATATTTTAACACACAGCAATTAGCATTAAAAATTGATTAAAACATTTTGATTTAAAAACAACATATATTTACCTTAAATATTGATAATTCATATTTGTTCTTGTTAAAAGATTCCATGACGGTAATTCTATTGAAAAAGATGAAATAATAGAATATTAAATTTGGGTAATATGGGTGGATATGAGGAGATAGGTGTGGCTGAGGAATGGAGTTGGCTTAGAAATAGGGTGGCGCACAGGCTTGGTTTGCTAAGTAAGAGGGGTTGCTACAGTAAACAACAGGGGTTGCTAAAATAGAAGTTGTTTAAGATTTATATCTCATTATAATATTTCCTCTATGTAGAGTATGTTTTATGTGTTATTTTATAATTTCTTCTACCATAGTGGTAATACCATATATCAAGATAACTATCTAATGTCTAGACTACTAAAATTGTTTATCTAATGTCATTATTATTGTTATCAAAGTACACAATGGATATGACAGCAGAATCTACATGACTCTATAATGGTGTTGGAATTTAGTTGTAGCTTGGTGATAAGATGCAGGGTCCCTTGTTCAATTCCTGTAAGGTTTTTTCCTAATAACAAAAAATAATTCCATACCATTACTAAGCCTCATAAAAAAAATTACATTTATAGATCATCATTCCATTCTGTATTTCCTGCTAAATGCGACAACAAATTATTCATGCTGAAGATATTCAGATAATAAATAACTAATTTTACACTTTTTATTACATTATTTCGAGACACAGTTTTAATAGAAAATAGTTTTATTAGAAAAACTCAAAGAATTATGGTACATACAAGGTTTATGTATTTCTACAGCACCCCTTTGTTGCTACAACACCCCTTTCTTGCTACACCCTTTTTTGCTACAACACCCCTTTCTTGCTACAACACCCCTTCCGTACCATAACACACTTCCTTGCTACAACACCCCTTCCTTGCTACTAACACCCCTTTCTTGCTACAACAACCTTTCTTGATACAGCCCACCTTTGCTGCTACAACATCCCTTTCTTTCTACAATATCCCTTTCTTGCTACAATACCCCTTTCTTGCTACAACACACCTCTGTTGCTACAACATCCCTTTCTTGCTACAACACCCCTTCCGTACCATAACACCCTTCCTTGCTACAACACCCCTTCCTTGCTACAACAACCTTTCTTGATACAGCACACCTTTGTTGCTACAACATCCCTTTCTTCTACAATAATCCCTTTCTTGCTACAATACCCCTTTCTTGCTACAACACACCTCTGTTGCTACAACACCCCTTTCTTGCTACAACACCCCTTTTTTGCTACAACACCCCTTTCTTGCTACAACACCCCTTCCGTACCATAACACCCTTCCTTGCTACAACACCCCTTCTTTGCTACAACTCCCCTTTCTTGCTACAACAACCTTTCTTGATACAGCACACCTTTGTTGCTACAACATCCCTTTCTTTCTACAATATCCCTTTCTTGCTACAACACACCTCTGTTGCTACAACACCCTTTCTTGCTATAACACCCCTTTCTTGCACCCCACATCTCATCAGCCATTAACTATCATAGCACTCACTCACTTAAACCTAGATTCGCTGTTGTACATATTAATCATAGCATTGCATCGTAGTCTTGCCTAATTCGTCGCTCACATCACGAACTAACACAATCCAAGTAGATTGTGTTAGTTCGTGAAATCACAGTAGCGCGTCAAAACGAGCGCGTATTGGTTGTGAAGCAATTTTGTATTCTTTACCACACAAAAAGTCCTTAACGACAACAGCGCGTATTTTGACGCGCTTTTTTGATTTCACGAACTAACACAATTGAATTTAATTGTGTTAGTTCGTGATGTGAGCGACGAATTGCGCAATACAATTCACCTATGGTACTATTGGTATTATTAGTAATGGATTCTTTTCATCAATACACCAACACATTACGAACAATCTAAACAGAAGGTATGTCACAACATCTCACAAATCAATTGTTCCATTGTTCAAAATGTTAAATTGCAAACATACCTGACATTTAGGGCATTAGATCATACTTACAAATGTGAACAATGTTCCCTTAGTACATTTGTTTTGTGGCAATGCTCTGACAACAAAATGTTTGTTTTATATATTTCCTTTTTGTTTAGGGGTCGTTCACAATTATCAAAATTTTCTTAAGTGTACAAACAGTATACTAGAGGGAGGAGATAGACAAATGTGTACACTTCTACATGCGCATGAAAATGTTGATTCAAAATAACATGCAATATTTGAAATAATACATTTTTATTACCAATTATAATACAACCATGGATATAATTAGACATTTTTACGAAACCAAGTACAGTACATTAGTTGATTTTATTTATTCTTTCTTTATACTAAATATACACTTTCAATACATAGTACTGGTTTCCAAAGTGGTTCAGTTCTTAACAATTTATTTCAGTTTGTATGCATAAATAAAATAGTACGGTTGTCAAGAGATACACACAATCTATGAGGCCTAGGTGGTGGCGTACCAAAGATTTCTGGCAATGGGTCCAAGCTGCTCAAGAAGTGGGTCCAGCCCCAGCCCCACCTAAGCCTAATACTATAAATCTCTACTAGATGCCAGGACTTAATAAGCTGTAAAATTTGCTTTTGCAAAACAGTGTTTTAAATCGAAATGATTGACTCCTTCCCCAACAGGCGTTGGACGTCCAGGGTTCCCTAATGAAGACTTGTTCTCCCGGACCACCACTGCGCCTAGGTCCAAAACTTCTAAAAAGAGTCGTTTTTGGCAGCAGAGAAATTATAGAATCTGTAGGATCTTAGCCCAGGAGTTCTATAAGTATCTTAACTATGAAGCTATAGCTCCACAACTGAGGTAAGGCCCCATAAAAAAAAATTATTAGTTTATCACCTTATCAAAGAATAAAATCTGATTTTTTTACCAATGATCACAAATAAATCAATGGTTAGAGACACATATATAAAAAGTCATAAGAATGGAATCAAGTTTATATTTAAAAAATATGTTTTTGTTGTACCAGTAAACATAATTCCAAGAAATCCTGAGCTTTTCAAGTGAAAAAAGATGGAAAAAAGACCATTTGAAATGAAAATATATGTTGATTGGAAAAAAAACAAAAAAAACCCCCAGATTTTCCCCAAAAGTGATGAGGGAGCGGGTGATAAACTAATAATTTTTTTTATGGGGCTAAGTCTGCAATTATGGATGCAGCAACACACAATTTCCCATACCACTGTCTTTAAGAGCTGATCCTAAGGGAGGGAAAGGTGGGACAAAAGGAAGGGAAACATATCACTCTAAGATGAATTGGATCAATAAATAAATGGGAAAATATTATGTATGTGTTTGACCTGAGTGGTGTAATATTGATAACATTTTGCCCTCACTATCTGAATTGCCCTCAAGTCTTTGAATAATGTTATCATAATCCTGTATTATCATGAAATGATAAACAGGAGAATATCTAAAATTGTAGGAGATATGCATCTAGTAACGAAAAACATTTACTTATCCCTGCTAACTACAATACTGTGATATTTCAAGAGTATTTCTGGTTTAATCAAGGCCTTTGCTTACATTAAAACTACTATGCGAGTTTTATTTTATTGTCAGTTGTCAACTTATCATTTACATTCAAATAGCTCTGCAGAATTTACAAGGAAGGAAAAGTATTTCCTTATTGCAGGCTTTAATGTTTAATTAATGTACAGTAGTTGAGAGCTTCTTAGCTAAACTGGTGGTAGCCACTTTGTGTGCGCTGAACCGTGGAGGTCTCTTGGTCCCTCGTTCAATTTTCCATCGCTGTTCTCCTTGTGTTCCAGCTGTAGAGCTGAAATGCAAGTTACGATGGAGCGCAGTCTTTCGAATAAGACGTTTAAGCCATTGGTCCTGTGTGCATTATGGCCCGTGTGCATGTTAAAGAACACAGTACGCTATTCGGAAAAGAAGAGGGGATTGTCTCCTGTGTACTGCTCAATTACCACCACCACAAGGACCCCACTGGAAATAAGTCTTCTACAGACTTTCATGGGTTATCCTTAGTGTTTACACTGAATAAATCCATCCATCAAATTGTTTTATGTTGAAGTGAGCTGCTATTAGGAACTTGTATACAAATTTATAAAATACTAAATAACTAATTACCAGAAGTGAGAATCGAAAAATCCACTTATTAATCTCAGATAAGATAGTATAATACTCCAAGTGCATTTCGATACTTAGAGTATGTATTATACTATCATAAGTGAGAATATTAATAGTTTTCGATTTCTAAATAATACTAAAAACCAGAATGATTTTTTGCATCATAAATATGTTGGTGTATTCATTTGTTTTAACTTCCCCAAAGCATATTTTCAATTTTTTTTACAAAACATAAAGATGTACTTGCAAATAAAAAAAACTTACCTTCTGCTGAAAATCGTTTTGTAACTTCATCGTCAATTATTGCCTTAAAAGAAATGTAATTATAAATGATAATTCTTCATTTTAAAAATATAGGACCAACTTAAATAACATTATGAATATATAATGAGTACATCCAGAATAATATAATATGCTCAATTTGAAACAAATAAAAGGGCTGTAGAGTAATAATAACAATGTTATTTTCCCCAAAACTCAACTAAGTGACTTATGAATTTCTATGGGCTTCATTACAGTGGTTTCAACATAGAAGCTGTTTGGTGCAGCGGTTAAGCCTTTGGATTCAATCGTGAGGTCGTAGGTGAAGGTTAAAGCTGGTGAAGCTTGGGTTTGCCCCTCTTGTGTTTATGGACGTAGGCTAGAGGTGGGGTGTGGATGCGGCAAATAAGTTCCACTTAGTAGGTTTAATAAAATACTAAAAAATGACCCATTAAATTTCATTGGAATAGGGATTTAGTTCCAAATTCTCAATTTCTCCCCCCCCCCAGGATCTTTTCACACCCCACCCTCAGGCCAAACCCAGAATACACCTTGGCCTTCTCTACCTCATATTCTGTACTGTATGAGGTGAATGATTCTGAATAAAATTCATAGTACTGAACTAGGAATACTCCCCACGAAGTAGAGGAGGTTGAATGACGTGTACAATGGAATCTGTAACCTTTTTCACAACAATAATTTTAAAACACATTAAAGATGCTACAATAAATAGTACAAACCACAGCAGGGGACTAAAAATTATTAACTTTCAAAATGTCTAAATTTTAGATTACATTGAATCGTGGAGCTTACTTCCATTCCTTTTTTACAAAAATAAAGTCCGTCTGACAGCTCAAATTCTCTGCGCACTTGATCAATGCCATTTTTGGAACTTAGGGCTGATGTTTGGTTCTTTACTCCTTCGGCAATATGTCTTCCGCTACCACCTCTTTCTCTACCTACAAATCATAAAAAACGAATGTAACAGTTAAAATTACCCTTTTCATAAAGCTACAAATAAAAATAATAATGATAATAATGCTAACAAGAACATTATATTTAAAAATTAATGACTTCAACGTAAAATATAAGCTTAACAATTAAGACATATTAATAATTTATTGTAATGATATGGTAATACTTTTATAAAGCACCTAATGCAGAAAATGGCCTGAAAGAGATGATGATGTAAAATTATTATAACAGAAGTGACTTATGAAGCGGTAAGTCTTTAGGATCTGTATTGACCAACAGTCAATTGTTGGTGAATTGGGTATTATAATATCTGATCCTTTGACTGCAGTTTGTATGAATATTTCAACATCATCACAGTTACCAAGTTCCTTGTTCCTGTTTCATTTCATCAATACAAAAGTGAAGGGGAAAAAAACAAAAAAAACCCCCAATATTAGCGTTAAAAATGTACAAATCTAAATTACAATAATGAAAGGCATTTTAAATTTATGAAGATATACTGTACGTCTGCCTTCCAATTAAAGACATCCCTCTAATTAAACACCACTTTTCTGTGGTCCCATGATCCCAAGTGTCTTTATTATCCTAATTAGTGACCAAAGCTGCTGGAGGGAGACCTATAATTATGATATTATATGAAAAAATATTTTGCATACTTAATGTATAAGAATGCAAGGGCTGTAGTTGTCCTTCCTGTTCTTCCTGACCATCATGATTCCTTTTTTTATCTTCTAAAGCTATTCGCTGACGTCCAAACTACAAGAATAAGATGAAATTAATAAATATTATTACCAGTCAGCTGTGATATTTAATTAATACATTACCTGTATTTGAAATTGACAGTGGAATTCAGAAAAGAAACCACCCTCCTGGATGCTCTGAGACTGAGCAGAGACTTATTATTATTAATCATGGCCCAGGCCTAGCCTATTTAAAATAATAATTTGCCAGAATGTTCGAGTCAATTCTTATATTTTGAAACAATTAAAATTTGAATCGTAATTTTCCAGTGAAACATCCGACAAAATGTGGCATCATGAAGTACCATCTTTTTGTTTAACTTTCTTGTCATAATCGAGGTTCATTGAATCACCTTTTAGCATTGGTGGTTTTTTCTGCTGGATTAAATAAGTCTAGGCCTAGGGGCCAGGCCCAGTGGCGGCTCTAGGAAATAACTTATTGGGGGGGGGGGGTAGTGGCTAAGTATTTATGGGTGTAACTATAGTGCGCTGCGTTGTCTGAGGGCCGAAGGC